GGTCGACCGGTGGAATCGACTGCGCGAGAGAAGCTCGCGGAAATCAGTCCAAAAACCTGCAAATCCAGTCCCAAATCTAAATATTTCAAAGGGAAACCACTAGATCCGGGTTCTAGGTCCTAAAACAAGTCCAAAGAACCCAAGATCTCCAATTTCTACTCTAGTTTTACTCAAAATCATCAAAATCCGTTTTGAACTAAAAATAAGTTTTGAAATCCGAAAAACATAGATTCAAGAGAGGTTCTTTCAGTAATCTTACCTCGAATCCTTCTCTTGACGTTGAAAACTCTTTGAAATCACTCTTGGTTCGAATCCGGTTTTGATTTGAGACACAAATGGGAGAGAGAGAGGGAGAGAGAGAGCACGGAAGTGTGAGAGAGAGAGAGAGTGAGGGAGAGAGACGCACGGGAAAGGAAGAGAAAAAGAAAAGAAAAGGAAAAGGAAAAGAAAAGAAAAGGAAAAAGGAAAGGAAAAGGGCATGTGTACAATATTTTAAAAGAACAGTCCAGAAATGCGCCCATACACACTTCTGGGTTAAAATAAATTACTGAGAATAATTTAAATACCTTGGAACTATTTAAACTCACACGTGTCAGAAACATTTATTAATTAAACTCAATTAATAATCCAGATTAGGCACACTAATAATCTTAATTACCTTAATTAATCTTAATTAATTCTTCAGGGTGTTACACACCCTCTAGATGGCCATCACTGAATTTAACTTGTACTTGCTGGAACTTCTTAAAATTTGCGGAATATTTTTTTTAAAGTCTTATAGTAGACATAAGTTTCGAATTACTTTCTTGATTAAAATATTCACACCTTAACATATTCGTTTTTTTTTTTCAATGTATATATTGAATTCTTAAAACTTGCTTACTTACAGTCATAATCCACATAACCATTTAACATATAGTTTCAGAATCAAAATTAGCAAAACTATTTATAACGTAAAACTGATTGCGGAAATAATTGCAAGCGGTATCCATTCCCCGATCTCCACATCGTTCGTCCATTCACCGTCAGTCCATCAAGTATTATGTGCAGGTTGCTTACCTACAGTATCAATATTCTATGATGAGCTTTTGCTCAGCAAGTAGGAACCATCCCTCACAAAATAACTGTAAGTTCACGTGAATAAATATGTATGAGCCAATTATGCTTAATTATGATCGTGTCTTATTAAATTCTTATTATCTGATCTGATCTTACTTATGGGCCCGAGTGCTCATACCACTTGCGCGCAATCATCAGGACGTGAGGGTTTACAAGGTCCCCAATGACACCGTGATTATAAACTGAATTGAATGCCTCCCCATCAGAGAATGGTACGGCACTCAACTGGGCTTCTTCTTATAAGTTTCTCTTGACTTATTAAGGTGTATGCAATATGACATAGCATAGCATATTATAACATGAAATGTACTCAAACACATATAATTCATGTGCACTGCTTAAGTGTATGCAGTATGACATAGCATAACATACATAACATTAAATGTACTCAAACACATATAATTCATGTGTACTGTTTATTTTAAAAATCTATTTATACTGTAGGCGAGATTCTACTTACCTGATTTCCAGTTAAAGCAGAATTTCTACTCACTCAGACCTTTTATGCTCTTCTGCTAAGTTCTGTAAAGGAACGCCCATTTAGAGGGTGAGATTAACTTTTAGTACGCTATTTTTATTTAGCATAGTCATAAAGGAATTAAATCCTTCCTTAGAACGCATTTATCCTTTTTATTAAGAATCGTAAAAATTTCTAATTTCTATTACAAGAATTAATTAAATCCTCATAATTATGTCTTTCTTAATTGCCATTACAAATTTGTGCTAAGTTGATAATTCATTAATTATCTTATCTATATAATAAGTCTAATAATTTAGGTAACTAATTTTGGTAATTAATTAACCCTCTTATTCATATACTAAGTCTACATAATTTAGTTAATTAATTTTAGTAATTAATTAACTTCCTTCACCAAATTAATTAACTTCTTTAACCATATTCTAAGTCTTAGATAATTTAATTAATTAGTTTAATAATTAATTAAATTATCATCCATAATACACTTTTAATAAACTTTACTTTACCGCACTTGATGAACTCATAATAGTGTTGAGGTTCGTATTTAACGTCGTAAAATTAAGGGTCTTGCGTATCGGTTTTTTACGATTTTCGCTTACACGCTTATTTGAAAACTATTAACTTTTATTGGAAAACTATATATGACGTTTAACATAAACATAAACATAATTCGCGAATCTCATAATTAACATATTTCGTGAAAATCATACGCCTTATATGACTATCTTAATTAAACTGTAAGCAAGGTTTGTATTTGCCTAGATTCCGAGCTAAGCGATTCTGATAGTATCTCGCTTGTCGTGTCCTCCTGCGTATTCCTCAAAACTAATTCTGAAAAAAATTGAAAGCACTATGAATGATCCTTGAGGAACATCGGAGCATTAAACACTCAATTATGAGCTCCACTTATTCAGTCCAAATCACCTCAATTTGCGTGCAATCAGTACCAGACCATTCTTATCAGAGTTGAATTTGGCCAAACTGAGGTCACCATTGCGTTCAATATGTTGAAATGAGACGGGATATGGCCTCGGATTATTGAATGGAGGTCGATAGCCTGAGAAACGACACCTCACCGGAATACGGCTGCGGCGGCTGCTGTATAAGGCGGCGTACGGTGGCGGAGGCTCCCGGAGAGTTTTTTCGCAGTGGACTTGGGTCCTACCCCCCTAAATCGATCCTTCTGAGTCCATTGGTGCGGTCAAATTCACACCATTCGGCCTGTAACAGTACATATCGGGACCGGCAACGTCGGTAAAATTTGGCGACTCAAATCTCACATTTCCGGTCATGAAATCTTAAAATTGGTTGAGGGGTTTTCTTACCCATGATCTTA